CGGTTGCTAGAAATTTTGCCCAATAATTATATGATATTTCATGAACATCTATTTCTTTTAATCTCGCTGGTGCTTGACCTTTTGGGAAAGCTGGATCTGGAGTTACAACGACCACTTCGTGACCTTGTTTTGCTAATTCTTGTGTAAGTGGTCGAAATACAACTTGATGGCTTATTGAAGGTATTGGGAAGTATGCTAATATTTTTGCAGATTCAATTTGAAAAAATAAATTTGAATTTAGAACAATAAATAATAGAAACATTTTAACACGTTCGTATATTGTCAAGGAACTGATATAAATGACATGGATGTGATCAGCGTTATCTGCACATCTATTGACGTAATTACTATTTAATAATATTGCATTAGTGCTAAATGCATGTTGCCGTAGTGTTCTTGTGTAGTAAAGCGATGAAGTTTGCTATTATATTTTGCAACTGGATCTTTGTTACCTTTTGTTATTTATTGTGTTTATCCTAAAATTTCTCCTAACCAAATTGCAGTTATTGAATTTCATCTAAAATCATACTATTATCCTAAATGCGAATGTTTAGATGGATGGATGTTTGAAGGTATCTCCGGAATGGCTCAGCGGATCTCGATGAAATTTGGCATACATGTAGAACATAGTCAGGACGAACAAATAGCCTACTAATTATTTTTTTTAATTCGGCTTAGACGGAGTCGCGAGCGACAGCTAGTTATTCATAAAAATTACCCCTGCATTATATTTCACATCCGTGTATTTAGCGCAATAACTGACTTGGTTTTTTATGAGATTTCATAATTATTGTTGTGGATGTTAACGCGTTGCGAGAATCAGTTTTTTTTTTGCTGATTTTTGTTTCTAATATTATAAAAAAAATAAAGTAAAGAGAGTTTATTCCTACCGAGGTTTACTCGATTTCATTCTATAGTTATTGATAAGACATTAATAATCTTTTATTGGTAAATATAAAGAAAAACTAAAAAAAGATAAATTGGTACAACACTAGTTGTATTGTACTTTATGCTACGTTATAAACAGTGAATAGAATATAATGACGTCACAACGCAATTGGTTGTCATTATTTGTCTTTGAAGTATTGTTTCATTGAGACAAGGAAATGAGTAGACAATTCTATGCATATATATTTATCTATATACAGTTAATAAAATTGTAATGTCTGTATGTAATTACGTTACGTCTTTTGACTTGATTTATTCTTAAAGATCGCTTATGTGTGCTGGAAAATGTATGTGGTCATCGTCGTGTTCCGCGTGCGCTAGGCGTGCAAGCGAGAGCACGGAACAAGCGAAAGAGAGGCACGATCGGCCTTAGCATTCGGCTAGTGATGTTAGTATCTGTCTTATAATTCGATTTTACTAATATTATAAATGCGAATGTTTTGATGGATGTTTGTTACAACTCCAGAACGACTGCATGGATCTCACTGAAATTTGGCATATATGTAGAACATAGTCTGGAACAACACATGGACTAATTATTAAGTTTTTTTTTAATTCCGCGCGGAATACAGCTGCAATTCATAAAAATTTGTAAAATTATCGTCCGTAAACTGACTTTACAGACAACCATGTTTTTAAATAACATGCTGACAAAGTCGCGGACGACAGCTAGTTTACAATGTAAATATATGTTAGTGGTTAATGTGTTGTCTGGCTGTTTCCACCGCTGATACTTGTTGAAAAAACATAATTATATTTCTGTGTCTTCTTTCAAAAAGTATAAAAAGGGTGATTATTATGTTTTTGTACAATTGTCTTGGCAGTGGAAACTTACTGACAGGATGTTTATTATTACTATAATGTTTTTATATCTCACTTCTTACTAATCTTACTAATATTATAAATGCGAATGTTTAGATGTATGTATGTTTGTTTTAATATATCTCCAAAACGGCTGAACGGATCTCGATTAAATTTAGCATACATATAGAACATAGTCTGGAAGAACATATAGGCTACTTATTAACTTTTTTTTAACACCGCGCGGACGGAGTCGCGGGCGACAGCGAGTGATGTTATTTGTTAATAGTTAACAAAAAAAGAAAATTATATATCAATGACTGTAAATAAGTCCATTACAGCGTATATAACAAGATTATTAAACCATCCATATAATTGACATACAAAGTAAAAAAAAATATATTTACCTAGGTAAAAAAATATTATAAGCACAATCGTCTATGAAATTTTTATACAGTCATGATAATAATGACGGATTAATTACTTTGTAATATTATTAAGGATAATAATAAAATCCGTACTAATATTATAAATGCGAAAGTAACTCTGTCTGTTTGTCTCGCTTTTATGTAAAAACTACTGAACCGATTTCATTGAAATTTGGTACACAGATAGTCTGGAGCCTGAGAAAGGACGTAGGGTATATTTTAACGCGAAAAAAGGTTGTAAAGGTTGAAAATGGGCGAGAATTTATAATTAAGAATAGTCATTTTTACAGTTAGAAAATTGTAACATATTTCTTAAGCTGTTAATTCGATATATAATAAATACATTTGACATCCATTTTTGTAAAAAAAAATTCTAAAGAGTACAAAATAAGTATAGGGGATGAAAATTTGTATTAGAATATGCGAGATAAATGTGAATGTTTTGTTTAATAAATTTTGTGATTAATAACTACATAAAAAATTAAAATCCTACCCAAAGAGAGTATTTCACGCGAACAAAGACGGGTGCATAGCTAGTAGTATGTACGACTTATCTTTAGTCAATTAAGAGAAAACATTAATTATCTATATGTATACAATTCGGTAATCTGGATAACACGTGGTTCATGAGACATGCCTTATTAACATGACAAGATTAGGTAATTAATAACGAATAATTAGTTTAAGCGAGTTGTACAACTTGACATTTGACCGTGGGTTTCTCAGACTGAAATCCTCGAATAAAATATATTGTTATCTCTGTTTTGTCATAGATGATAGACGGGGAAGACAGTATGTTTTATACAGATGGCTTCGGAAACCCATAATGTGTTGGAATACATTTACGCATCCATCAAAGCGTCATTATCTAATTTATATTATATAGAGTAATTGAGATTAGTAATTAAGTATTCATATTTCAAAACCAATACGACTTAGGGACCTTCAAGAAGCGAGCATACCATTTTCTTAAAGGCCGGCAACGCATCTGCAGTTTCTCTGGTGTTGCAGATGTCCATGGGTGTTGTTGATCACCTCGGTGTTCCAGCCGCTCGTTAGCCCTCTTCTCTTATAAAAAAAAAGTTAGTATTAAAATTGTGAATACCGATTTCAGTGACTTGTATTATGATATTATGAGATGAAAGAATATATATATAAATAAATATTATAAATGCGAATGTTTGGATGGATGATGGTTTGTTAGAAGGTATCTCCAGAATGGCTGAACGGATCTCAATTCAATTTAGCATACATAGAGAGCATAGTCTGAAAGAATACGTACGTGTATTTTTATATAACGGCCCGGCGTCGCAGGCGACAGCTAGTTAACAATATTTGGAAATCATGATTCATGATGTTTTATGTTGTTTATAATGATTTTTATTTTTATTTTTGTCAGTCTTTGTGTCTGCAAGTTCGCGCTTGAAACCGCTGGAACGATTTTGATCAAGCTTGGACTCAAATGTTGCTGTACGGACACGGAAATATTGTGACTACTAGTTGAGCCTAAATCTGTTATAGTTTTTTTTGACAGGGTATTTTAGTAGCCGATATATTTAAGAGGTCTGCGTTCGGTCGAAACATTTTAGGCGACTACAATCTAAGATCTGTATATGTAGTGTAAGTACTACACTTAGAAATTTTAAGTTTTTCCATCAAACTCTCTTTCGCAAACACAAAAAAACAAAAGAAAAAATTGTCATCACTGTTACTGAGCTTTACAAAAGTTGCCCAATCGATTTAATTCTGTTTGTTATCTTTTTCCGATACAAGTTTAATCCGGTTCCTGAATTAAACGCGACATAACAAGGGTCGACGATTACAGAACGAAAACCTATGATACAGTTCGTTTACTATGACTTCTTTCGAAATGATCTGATTCGTTCGGAAGCAAACATCTATAATTTGATGTACATTTAGATGTGGATTAATCTACATTTACTTGGAATTCTTAAAAAAAATCAAGAGTACAACTCCTTACTTACTCCGCTGGCGCAGCGACACGGAGTTGGTCTTGGCCTCCGACAAAAGATATCGCCAAAGACGCCTGTCCTGCGCCTTCTCCTACCAGTCCATCGTCCAGATAACGCTGGCGAGATGCCGTATAGTATGGACAATTCCTACTTAACCTTAATTTTGTATTAAATTACGGTATTTTACTATATAATTCAAAACTCTGCTCTCAACGTGCTTAATTTCAATGCAGAAAAATTAAAACGATAAAATGTATTAAAAATAAAAATATGACAGCTAAGTTTAAGTCAATTATTACTTTAATAAGTTATTATCATGTTAATTAATAACTAAATTTAAAACTTCAACGGCATAATTGCCGCCTATTATGATGTTAATGTTATCATTAGGCACTTATCATTAAAAGTGCAAATTCTGTCTTTTATAATTTAAATTAATTTGACTTATGCAAATTTGTTAAATTAAAAGCAAAAGATAACCACGAAAAGTATGTATAAAATATGTAAAACGGATATAAAAGTCACCGCTTAGTAAACCCACCTGGAAACATCTTGTTACTGCCACAGGGAATTCGCGCGTTATCTACGCCAGAGGGATTTGACAAAATGCATTCGCTTCGAGGCGATTCCAAAGCGAACTTCAAAAATGTATGGAACTGACGCGCGACAAACACGTGACTTATCGAAAGTTATTGTCAGTTCTATACATTTTTGAAGTCTGTTATGGAATCGCTTCAAAGCGAATACACTTTTACCTAACCCTAGGACGTTATCCGATTGAAAATAAAAGCAAACGAGCAAGAAAGAGAGAGCAATACTTTCGGCTCGCTTCATCATAATAAAAACCAAATATGTTTATAAATTGTTTATTATTTGTATGCCTAAATAAACTGGTATAAAGCACAATTCAGCTGATAGTCTATTTCCCGCGTCTTCGGTATCATCTGCCATAACTAGTTTGGAAAGAAGGAATTCGTCAGGTCGCGGATCCCCGTCAGGACAATTAGAATAAATAACGTTGAAGTCACAATCCTACAAGAATCAATAGAAATAGGGCATTAGAGATACTAAGAGTTATGAAGCCACGGAAGTTGATTTGAAAAATGTAATAGAAATTTACCTGAAACACGTCACCTTGAGATACAATAACAGAGAACTTTTGAAGAATAACAGCCTGTACGCGACTGCATTTGTTTACACCATCTAGAAGTGATTCCAGTGTGCAACGTCGAAATTGAGCTCTCGCACTGCAAAGATACGTTTATATAATAAACCTTTTAGCTTCAGAGTTTATACATTCTTCAAATGTTCTTTCCTCGTGCTACTGATGTAACTTTAATTACATGTTTAATGTTTTTCTCGGACTCTGTTTTCTGGTCCCAAGTCTTTATAAACCCTAACCTTACTTCTTACTAATATTATAAATGCAAATGTTTAGATAAATGGATGTCTTTTTGAAGGTATCTAGTGAACTTGGCTGTATGGGTCTCCATGAAACTTGGCATAGATGTAGAACATAGTTTAGTAGAACACTTAAGATACTAATTAAGATTTGTTTTTAATTCCGCGCAGACTAATTCGCGGGCGACAGCTACTTAAGTATTATTTTAACACGATTCTCACCAACATAAATAAAAATGTGTCACGTAATGTGTCCACTCGTGCGTCGTATTCTTTTTGTCGTCGACAATTCGTTTGAACTTCGTGTAACAATCTTCCCACGCAGCTGCCGAACTTTCAATACATCGGGGCAGATTCTGATATTCTAAAATAATATATTCTTGAAGACTTAACAAAAAATTAAGACAATTCATCAAAAGAAGTGTCAATAGTTACAAAGTAAATAGGAATAGATGTTTTCTATGGGTCCGTAATTTTTGTTCTTGCAAAACAAATAATTTCTTCAACCACTACGAGGACAATAGTTTCCATAGCAATTTTATGGATTATAAAAACTACAACAATAGCAATTGATCTGTTAGAAGCATTCTTCTACTTAGCAGAATTTATATGACTGTTGTTAATAATCATACTTGATATAAACCACTCGTCGTCGCAAATATTTCTTAATACATGGATGTGACCCTTGATACTTTCTTCATAGAAATAATTTTCTGTAACATCTCTGCAATCCACGTTCCAATCGGTAGCGCAATTCGTTAAATGTCTTACGGCACTAAAAGAAAATATTTATTGACTGATTCAGGAGAAAGCAAATTTTCTGGACGTACGTTTGTCAATCTGGTATCCGATAGACTAAACGAATGAATCGATTTTGACTAGTGGGGTGTCATTTGATTTCCATTCTTTCCCTAAGAGTCATAGGTATAGTTAGTCTAGATTTTTTGTTTCTTAATTAGCAAATATATAATTCAAGACTCGTAGATAATCTTACTTCTGACTAATCTTGCTAATATTATAAATGTGAATGTTTAGATGGATGGATGTTTGTTTGAAGCTATCATGAGAACGGCTAAACGGATATCGTTGAAATTTGGTATATTTATAGAATATAGTCTGGAAGAACACAGAAGCTACAAATTATATATTTTTTATTTCTGTGTGGACGGAGTCGCGGACCACAACTAGTATTAAGAATCATTTAAGCTAACATTTCAACTGTAATAATAATCTATAACCTTACCTGCACCATTCTGAAAGTTTGTTGGGCATTGGTGGTCTTTTTCTGGTTGAGTTATATATCGTCGCTGCTTGAGCGGTACAATTTAAAGCGTATTTAGTAAAATCATCGCAATTTATGTTCTTTGAAGCCACTAGTTTCTCAGAGTCTTTACTTAGTGTCATTATTGGTGCGAATTCGTTGTCCTCTCGTGTATACTGATTCCTCTGTGTTAGATCTTCGTAATCATTGAAATCTGTAAATATCCCGATTACCTTTTCCAATTTTCAATTGGTAAATGTAATGTTTGTAGAAATAAATGAGTATTAGTGTTGTGATCAATCTGAGAAGACTTTGTTTATGGATTTGAATTTAGTATGATTCTAGTATCTCTTTGATATATGATAAGGGGGCGAACAAGCAGTGAAATCACTGAAAGGAAGTCACTGAACCCATGGACAATACCAAAGGAACTCCAGATCGTTGTCATCCTTTTGAGAAACGATATGTAAGGCTCACTTTTTGAAGGACCCTAAATTCTAGAGTTTTGGATATGCGGACAGATGATTCCACAACACGACTTTAACAGAATATTTTTCGAAAACCGCGTGGTTGAGAAATGTCAGTTTTCGAGATGATGAGAATATAATCTGGCAGTCTGCACTGAGTTCCACTTTGTATCATTTTTGTTTAGAATTATATTTATAGATGAAACTAATATAGTCGGTGTTTGTTTACTATCTCTACGTAAGTTGTGACTTTATAATAATTTACTCACATACACCGTCTATTGAAAAACTAACGGCTATAAATATGAATAAAATTTTGAACATATCGTAATTTCAAATATAATTTTTGTTTATAAACCATATCAAAAAAATGTCAAACTGACAGATTAATCGAGTCATGTCACAGAAGATTAGACGCTGTGTTCAGATTACGCATATTTAACTTAACCAAATTATATTTTACAGTTAATGTAATTGTTAGGAATTAAAAATTTACATTGATACGTAACTTATTATTATTGATTTGGATTAGCTTAAATATTCAGTGGGAATCGATCGCTATTTTAGCGAAGGTGGCCACTTTACATTATTCTATAAAAAAAACTAACTGTCGTCCGCGACTTGGTCTGCGTGGGATTAAAAATATATGTTGGCCGATTCTCAGACCTACTCAATATGCTCACAAAATTTCATGAGAATCGGTCAAGCCGTTTCGGAGGAGTATGGGAACGAAAATTGTGACACGAGAATTTTATATATTAGACTAGCTGTCGCCCGCGACTCCGTCCGCGCGGGATTAAAAATAGATGTTGGCCGATTCCCAGACCTACTCAATATGCCCACAAAATTTCATAAAAATCGGTCAAGCCGTTTCGGACGAGTATGGGAACGAAAATTGTGACACGAGAATTTTATATATAAGATAAACCATTTCACACCTACCCTGTTGGTTCAGGCTAAGCGCCATCTGCGCTCGGCCACCCCAAGCCCGGTGAAACTGTAAATGCCTCCTCAAGGCAAACAGTGACTACTCAGTCACAAAAAAAAACACCTACCCTGATTTAGCCACATCATACTTATTCAAATATATGTACATTTAAAACTCGAAAAGTTTAACTTTCTTCAAAAAGTTACACAAGAAAAAGTTATATATTTCATATTGGTACAGGCAGTTTATAAAGTACGTGAGAATTTTACTACACGTCGCGTTGATGTCAATGTTACAGTACTCAGTGTTGCCGTATTAAGAATAAAAACCAATAAAAGATTTCTCTGACTGTAGGTTTCTACTGCAGTGACACTTTTATTCATATACTAGCTGTCGTCCGCGACTCCGTCCGTGCTGAATTACAAAAAATATACAATTAATAGCCTATGTTCTCTTCCAGACTATGTTCGATATGTATTCCAAATTTCGTCGAGATGCGTTCAGCCGTTCTGGATACCTTCAAACAAATATCCATCCATCCATCCCTCTATTCATCCATCTATTCATCCATCTATCCATACATCTATCCAACCATCTATCTATCCACCCATCTATCCATCCGTCTATCAATCCGTCTATCCATCCATCTATCCATCCAAACATTCGCATTTATAATATTAGTTGTTGTATAAGGTTTGTTGTCTTTTTTTGTTTGAAGAGAATCAGAGGGATGACAATATTACTTAATATACTTGAAACTGCAGTTAGAATCTGCCACCAGTATCATTTTTTATCGTTACTGTAACATAGATAAATTCGTTACAATTTAGTGTTACTTGGTACCGCAATATGAAAAGGATGAACAACTGTAGTTATCGTAAATATATAAAAGGAAATAATTACTAATGTTTAATCACTGACCTCTCTACGTAGACAGGCTATAAACCGCGTTATTTTGTGCCTAAACGATCTTCGCCATTTTGGCGCTGACGGTTGCGGTTGACGGCGGTGGTGAGGATTGAAACTAAACTGTCATTTTCAAGCAATAACCTATCAATTTGTAGCGATCAGTGTGTTTAATACATTCCCAAACATAGAAATATGTACGAATTGTAAACGCTAGCGTAATAAGTAACTTATTGGAGATCCTAAACCATATACGTAGTTACTCCTATCGTTGCTATTATAATTTTCTAGGCGTGATTTAAAAATGACGTCATTGACCTATATCTATATTTAAATGACGTAGTTAATTTTTAGAGTTGCTATTTATAACCTGATGGATATCACGAAGGCTATATAATTAAACTAATATAAAAACACACGTATATTCGTTCGATGGCGGCACCGACTAGTTTTGGGCCTATCGGGGGCCCTTCATCAGGGTGAGTGGGCCTGGTATTATTTCGCGGACGCGGCCCCCAGCTTACGGACGAATATACGTGAATGTTTAGCCGTTTTTATATCAGTTTATAATAATGTCTCACGAAACTTTGAATAGTTTAATAGGCTATATAATTGCTTGACTTAAAGTATCATCGTAGAATCTGAAAGAGAGGATGCAATAAAATATAGTATTGTACGTCCTCATTAAGTAGCTTAAGGCTGCGCGGGACGGGCGAAGGATTTGCTCCGGCTTCATAAAGAACCTCGGAATTGTAGATGCAGTGCCATTTGCGAGGACGCTCTTATTTGCATAAAATTACGAGCCTTTTGTGAAAATAAGTTGGTACGTGGTCGTGGCGATTGCTTTGTTGATATGAATTATTTAACAGAGTTTAGTACATCAATATTTAATTGTGCTTTTTTATATATCATAAGGTGGCAAACGAGCGAGCGGCCACCTGATATATTAGATATTTAATAGAAATCAATCAAAATTCTTTAATATTTAACTGTCGTATTTGCTATTTTTTTTGTTTTATCTGTTTTTCTTTCTTGTTACCCTACCTCGTATTGTGTAAATGGTGTGAGACAAAAGGGCCAGCTGAAAACCAGCGCCATCCATGCACCAGCTGAGCTGGCTACCTTTTTTGCCACATCCTTAATTTAACTAATCTATTTTTTTTGTAGAATTTTTAGTTGTTTGTTTCAATAAATAAATAAATATTCTTTTCTATTATAATGTCTGTTATTATGTTATTGTTAGCGTTATCATTGTAGTTGCATTATCTCCATACTTGAATGGTAAAAATACTAACATTGCTATAGTCTCTAATGCAGTTTCCTTGTTAACGTCTAACGGTGGTATGTTTATCAGCACAAAGTGCAAGGCTTTCCCTCCGCTAATGTCAATTTGTCTACTGCAGCGTGCCACGACTGTATTTTAATATTTAAGTTGTTAATGTATCTTGCAGTAACTGATTTAATGTGTATGGGTAAATACTTATATACTTATAGTAAGTTTGTAGGTCTAATCACGATTATAGTGTTCTCTAAATGGCTGAATCAATTTACCTTGGGTTTCCGAGACATAAATCTCTGTATAAAACATATCGTTATCCTTGTCAACTTTGACAACGCAGAGATAACATTTTAACCTTGATTTTGGTTTCTGAAACCCACAGTTATTCGAACAACAGTGGTAGAGCCCGCTTTAACATCTACGCACGAAATGGCCCGGCTCGCCCGGTGAAATACCACGACCACACAGAAGACAGGCGTGAAGTGGACGCAATTCCGCGTTTCGTCTGATAAGTGTGCGTCCCGGAAGCCTCATTTAGTCCTCTTTCCCTTACCACCCTCTTTCTTATTAGGAAAGGATGGGAAGTGGAAGTGGACTTTCCGGATGAGAGGATGCATAGGAAGGGAAAATATTTTCTTTCTGTGCATCCTCTCCTCCGGCGAATATGCAATTGCGTATGTTCATGGGCAGCGGTCGCTTCGCTATTTCAGCGATTTCAGGTGGCCGCTCGCTCGTTTGCTACTTTATGATATAAAAAAAAAGAATTATGACCAAATAATATAATAATCCGTAAGTATACTTATTTGTAATAGTTATGATTGATTTTTTAGTCTTTCTTTGAACAGGAGTTTAATTTTTCGATATTCATATATTTTATTTCTTACTAATATTATAAAATCGAATGTTTTGAAGCATGGATGTTTGTTAGAAGGTATATCAATGTAAAATTTGCACAGATGTGGAACATAGTCTTGGAAGAACATATAGTTTACTAATTGAATTTTTTGTTATTTAGCGCGGACGGAATCGCATGCGACAGTTAGTAAATACATAAATTGGACTATTTTGGAATAAAGTCATTGTTTAAATCTGAACTACATTACCCTTTTACGTTTTAATATTAAATAGTCGTAGTTATAATTATCTTATACTTACTTCAATAAAAGTATCGTAAAGATATTGAAACTTGATTCTATTTAACCTCATTGAACGCATTATAACGATAACAATGGAGCAGAGAATTCACTTTAGAAATATATTGTTATCGATGATCGTTTCGAGTCTTTTCAGCTGCCATTTTCCGTTCAATTCCTAACAATAAACGCGAATACAGCAAATGAAAGGCCAAGGGATCAGACCTCGATACAACACCGTGAATAATATGCTCAATTTCCCGATGAGTTTGAACCAAAAATCTTATTTCTTACTAATATTATAAATGCTAAAGTTTAGATGGGTAGATGTATGTTGAAAGATATCTCCAGAACGGCTGCATGGATCTCGATGAAATTTGGCATAGATGTAAACATAGTCTGGAAGAACACATAGGCTACTTATTAAATTGTCTTTTTAATTCGGATCAGACAGAGTCGCGGGCAATAGCTAGTAAAACTACGTATTTTTTTGTTACCCTAAAAAGCGTTGTAAAGAATAAAAAAATAAAAAGGCATTGGTGTTATTATAATTGCTTTTTTTTCATAAAACGCTATGCTTTTATTATTTTAACAGTACCGTTGTATATTCCGACCTAATGTCAGCCAGACGGTTTTTATGTCTTTGTTTCATGACACAATTATTAGTATTGCAAAAAATATTAATGTAATTAAAAAAAAAATGTAATGCTTTTCGAGTATATTTAAATGTATCTCTATTTTGTATCTGTTTTTATTACGTTTTTTTTTCAAATAAAAAAAAATCCTAAAAATGATTTGAAATGAAAGTGAAAAAAAATCTGTCGAGTAACTTCTTAAAATATCAACGATAAAGGTGTTTAAGGTATTTGTAGAGAGGAGAGAGAGAAGATGGATTTTTTGGACCAAAAAAATAAAACTCAAAAAAAAAATTTTTTTTTCGTAAACTTTTCTGCACTGCTATGCATGATATGATTTGGAATTGTTTCGATTA